GGGATAAACCCAATTTAGTCATAATATTTTATTTTTTGAATTGAGATTGGTTTGCCAGTATTTAGAAATTTTATTATCTATTAGTAACAGATTTATAATTTTATTTTGTTCTTACTCAGGCTATATTATTAGTCTTGTAGAATAAACTGGTAAATAATTTTCTATTTCCTAGAAGATATGACGTGGTATACTTTGTTCTCTGAGAGTTTGTAAGAACTCATGTAAAACTGTCTCTAGGCCTGGTATAGATATTTACATTCTGATCCAGTTTCTGTACAACAATTTTTTAAAAACTGTTTTTTGAGTCAGTGTTGGTGAGTTAATTTTTCTGGGAACTTTTTTCATTTCTTTCAGAGTTTTAAATTGAGTAGTGTAAAATTGTCCAGATAAATTATTTACTCATTTTTATCTTCTATTATTGAGATTAAAAAATTTCTTAGTTCTGTTTATGCCTTTTCTATCTGTCCTTCCTTCCTACCCTCCTTTGTTCTAGTGATTTGTCACTCTGGCAAATTTCATTGGTCTATGTGTGCCTGACAAGTGCAAGGTCCTCAGTCAACACCCAGTTCTGCAAAAGAAAAAAAAAAAAATTTTTGTTGGTCTTTTCAGAGAACTAGTTCTGGTTTTGTTGAATCATTCTATTAAATGTTCTTTTTCTATGTTATTAATTTCTGCTTATTTTCTTACTCTTGCATGATTTATGTTGTTTTCTAACATTCTTACTACAAAAATGGCTTTTTAGCTCATTGAGTTCTTTTTTCTAGTGTGAAAATTTCAGTACTGATAAGTAGCGTTTATCATATAATTTTGAAATCTTATTTATTTTTATTTATTTATTTTGAGACAGAGTCTTTGTGGCTTCAGCCTGGCTTTGAACTTACCTTGTAGCCCAAGGCTTAGCCTTCAATTCACTGCAATCCTCTTGCCTCAGCCTCCTAAATGCTGGGATTATAGGCACGTGGCACCATACCTGGCTAATTATGATGTCTTAAATTTCCATTGTGAATTTTTTTCTTTTGAGTTGTGGGTTATATAGAAGTATTTTGAAAATACATTTCTAAATGTAACAATTTTCAATTTAGTAACTTCTGATTTGATTGCATTGTGATTAGAGAATTTTGTGTATATAATAGAGTTGAAGTTGTTGAATTTATATGGCCAGGTTTTACAAACATTTTGTTATTGAAAGTTCTGTAATGTTGAATGCTGTTTAATTCTATTAAATCTGAGTGCATGGATTCTATGGATGATCATATTGTATTCTCCTTTGATCAGTTTTTTGCTGTTACAGACAGTGGTTGTAAGAACATCTTTATGTGTATCTGTGTAACTTTGTGAGTATATCCAGAGGGGAAATTCATATTATTTACTTTTAAAAAATATATGCCTTTTAAGTTAGGATCAAGAGTGATCCAGTTTATAATCTACAGTATGTGGTTTGAATTTATTTCACCTATGTCTTTGATTATTCTTAGCATTAGCAAACTTAAAACTGTTTTCCATTTAATCATGTAAAAATTACTGTCTCCTTTTGATATACAATTCCTTAGGTATGGTGAGATTTAGTCACCATTTATTTTTCTTTTGGAGGCTGCCTATTCATACTCATAGCCCATTTTTCTGTTTGTCTTTCTTATTTCTGTATAAAATTCCTCCTTTGCTGTATGTGGAATGTTGGATACTGCCTAGATACTTACTATTTGATTTGCTTAAAAATGTTATTTATTTTAGATATGGATGATGGACCTTCTCAACGAGGTCATTTCATGAGAAGTCACTTTGCCTCTGGGAGGAGTTTGGGAAATAGAGGTATGTATCTTAGTCTTTCCTTAATTTGAATTGTTGAATGAAGGAGTAGAGGCTTTTGATTAAAGCTAAATCTGTCTCCCCATCCCCATTCTTCATTCTCCCATAGTGTGGATAGAACATAGGGCCCTCACACTGAGCTACATTCCCAGCCCTTTAAAAATTAATTAACTACTTAATTCATTAATTGTGGTGCTGGGGATTTAAACCAGGGCCTTTGCACTAAGCTACTTCTGCAGTCAGTTTTTTAAAAAACTGTGCTGAGAGATGGTTTTACTAAGTAAGTCACTAAGTTGCTTAGGCTGGGAGACAGAATCTCACTAAGTTCCCTCATTGGGCTCAAACTTGCAGTCTTCTGCCTCAGCCTCCTAGAGTTCTGGGATTAAGGTTAGTACCACTATGCTTAGCTTTAAGTCTTTTTTAACTTTTATGGTAGATTTTGTTGGGATAATGAGTTCATCATTTTTTCAAGTGTCAATGTCTTTTTGTACTTTACTTCTTTGAATAAAGTGGACATGGTTAAGTTGACTGGACAGACAGATTGGTTGAACAGACTGGTTGGACAGATGCCTCACCTGTTTGTTAATTTATGATTATTGATTTCTAACAGTTGACATAGGAACATGTTTGTAAAAGCTTTAGACATTAGAATGAGAAAGACCTCTTTTTTGAGTTTTATATTTCTCAAGAAAAAGCAGCATGGGAAACATTTCTTTTTACCCATTGATACTAAGTTTACATGATTATTTTCAGAAGCTTAGGTTTTTGAATTTCACTTTTAAAACTACTAGAAGCTTCAGTCACCCAATTGGTTAGCATGCAATACTTACACAGAACTATCAGGATGTTATTTGACATAATGACACAGTAAAATACCTTCTTGCAATCCATTTTTTAGACTTAATTAAAATGCTGAAAATATTTTACATATTTCTATTTTATTATTATTATTATTTATTATTTATTATTCTATTTATTATAGTACAATAACATTATTAGAACTTTAAGTTTATTTAAAATCTACATGATCATTTCTTTCAGGGAATGCCATTGCTAGGGCAACTTGGTAGTTTTAAATACACATAATACCCTTAAATTTATTTTTTGGAAAATTTTATTGATTATTTTTATCATCATAGGAGTATAAAAGTTGACGTGTGGTATTGCATTAGACATTTGGAAACTTTAGATATAGTAAACATGAATTTGAATTTTATGTTTGGACATATTCCTATTATGTTACATAATTTATTTTTCAAATATACAAATATATTTTGTTTTTAAAGCCTGCATATTAAGATGTATTACTGGTTTGGACTATGTAATTGTGTTAAGAAATAAAAATATGGGTTTTATTGGCTACTTCTATCAATAGAAGTAATAAATATCTTAGTATACTTAGAAGAGTATTTACTATTTAGGTATATTTTAAAATTCTCTGACTTAATTCTGAAATGTCAATTTCATTGGAAAAAGAAATAGCTAGTGGATTAATGAAGCACATTCCTCAGTGTGTCTAGATAGGTCCTGGAGGCACGGTCTTGGGTACTGTATATTATATATAGTCTCTTGTCCCTTCCTCTTTGTCTTTGTTCCCCTGATCCACTTTCCAGCCACCATCAACTAAATAGTTTTGCTCCACCATGCCCTTGTGCTGTGACATTCCTACCTTAAAGCTAACTGACCATATACTGAATTCCTGAGCCACATTAGACATTTTCTCCTTTATACTTTGGGTGTTGGGTATTGTATCCACCAATGGGAAAGGTGATTAATAGAGACAATTGGTTCCAAACAAGTGGGGTAATTTCTGTGACTATATGTGACCATGTGATTTAGAAGCCTTTGGAATGGTTCATAGGAAGAGTTTGGAAAGTTTTGGAGATGCCAGCTAGAGAAGCCCCAGAATCCTATAAATAGAGCTTGATGTGTGATTCTAGTCAGAACTCAGAAGATGCTGACAGAAATGCAATCAGTAAAGGACAGGTGCAGGAGGTTTCAATTTGGAACAAGGACTCCATTGGCAGTTGGTCTAGAGGGCATAATGTATTACACTCTGGCAGAAAATTTGTGTATATTTTGCCCATGTCCCAAGAATTTGCAGAAGATTAAGATTAAGGGTAGTGGGCTAATGAATCTGGCAGAGGAAGTTCTAAAATAGCTCATTATTCAGGCTGTGGCATGGGTACTGCTGGCTGTTTTAACTAGATTTGTAATAAGAATCAGGAGCAAAAGGCAGAGAAGAAAAAATTTGAAAAACTTAAATTTGGCTCGGAAAGAACCACATGTAAAGTTTTGGCCAAAAGAGGTGTGTCTGTGGAAGAGATAGGTGCCGTTAAAAAAGAAATAAAGTATTTTGTACATTGACATCTTGAGCAAATGTCAGAAATCAGCAAGACCCGGCCAGGGATTTAGCTCAGTGGCACTGCGCCTGCCTTGTAAGCACAAGGCCATGAGTTCAATCCCCGGTACCAAAAAAAAGAAAAAAAAATCAGCAAGACCCCACCCATCGCAATCTAAAAGGTGCAAAAAAATGTAAACTTTTTATTTGAGAAGGGAGTCCCTGGGGCCTTTGCTAGAGGAGAGCTGCCCAGGGAATTGGTTCCTTAGAATTCAATTCACTCTGCTCAGTCATCCAGGAATTTAGAAGCTGCTGCAGCCAAGGTCTGGTAGGGTCTGGCTACTGTCCCTACTCTCAGCAGAATTTGGTCTCTTTCATGTGATACTGGTTTTACCAGCATGTAGAATGCAAGAGTTTTTGGGTGAGGGAGGCTTTCACCAAGATTTCAGAAAAGGAACTTGGAGGTCAGGCAAGGAGCCCCTGGGAGGGCGGTGTGTTAAACTGTGATAATGAAGCCAGTAGGTACAGTGGAGACTTGAGGAAGTTGGATATGCCAGTAATGAGGAATTTTTGTCAAGAAAAGGTGTAGGCTGTGAGTAGATCCAGCCCAAGAGAGAGAGACTGGGTGGGTTGCAGCTAGCCAAGCCATAGAGGTGGGGCCACCCTAGCCTTCTGGAACTCAGATCTCACTACTCATGTGCCCTAGATGCCAGATATGGAGCTATAGAACTTGTTTGCCCTGTTGGGTTTCAGTTCTGCTTTGGTCATGATTCTTTTCTTGACTCCCTATTCCTCCCTTTTGGAATGATCATGTTTACTCTGTGCTATTTTATTTAACTTGTTTTTGGGTTTTAAAGACATTCATAGCTAAGAGTTTGCATTGAGTCTTAGAGGAGTGTTGGATATTTGGAAAATGCTGGGACTGAGATTTTGGGAAGGGATTATTGTATTTCCAGTTGTATGAAAGAGTTGTATTATGTTAGACGGAATTATGAACTTAACTAATTTTTATTTGGTGATTAAATATGGTTTAAGGAGATGTGTTTTTGTGTGAGGTTGACCAAACGTGGATTATGACCATTAATCCTCCCATGTTAACTTCACTGGATTAAAAAATGCTTTGCAGATTATAAGTATGTGTTATGGCTTATATCTACATATCCCTCCCAAAGGCCTCAGTGAGTTCATAAGTGAGGCTTTTAGGAGTGACTAGATAAGGGTGTGATACTGGGTTCACTGACTTTTTTTTTGGTACCAGGGATGAACTCATGACCTTGCACCTGCCCACTGAGCTAAATCCCTGGCCTACCCCCTTTTTTTTTTGAGACAGGGTCTTGCTATGTAGTTAAGGCTGTCCTTGAACTCTATGTATCTCAGGCTGGCCTTGAATTTATGGCAATTCTCCTGCCTCAGCCTCCCAAGTGCTGGGATTATAGGCATACACCACCACACCTGGCTAGTTCACTGACTAGTTTAGCATAGTTCTGGGTATGGATTTTCTAAAGAGGGAAGACCCACCCTGGGTGTGGATGGCACTAACCAGTAGCCTTGTAGCCTGAATGGAATAAAAAGGGGGAAGAAGGATAAGTATCACTGCTTCCTGTCTGCCATGCCATGCCATGCCATGGACTGTTTCTCCTTCTGCCATGCCATGCCCTGGACTGTTTCTTGCTCTGCTATGCTGCATTGCCTCAGAGCCAGCCGACTGTGGACTGAAACCTCTATAAACTGCGCTAAAATAAACCTTTCCTCCTCTAACTTGTAGATTTTGAGTATTTTATCCCAGCAATGAGAAAGTAACTAAGACAGCATGCTCCCGGGTATGTCTGGGTAGTTGTCCTTTTTCCCAACTCTGTGGACTTCCTTTCTGATGAAACTGCAGACTTTTCACATCTGGTTTTTGCTCTTGATTTTCACTGTAGATCTGGCTAAAAGCAGCGTAGCAGTGTCCATGTTACAGCCTGAATGTCGGGCAGGTTTGAAATTTTTCCACCATATTAATCAGTCCACTGCCTTTAATCTCAGTCTCCTTAATCTCAATCTCTTAAATCTCAGGGCATGGGCAAAATGTAGATACATTTTCTACTAGGGTATAACACATATGCCCTCTAGTTCAACTCTCAATAGAGTCCTTCTGTCCAGCTTTACTGTCTTAGCTGTGACTAGAATCACTCATCACACTTGGTGTACAGCATTTTAGGGCTTCTCTGGCCAGGATTTCTGAATCTTTCCAGATTCTTCCTGCAGACCAATTCCAAAGACTTCTAAGTACAGTCACAGCGAGGAACCCATTTCTCTGGTACCATTATCTGTTTTTATTACTTTCCCATGTAGCTGAGATGCAATAGCTGACCCTTGCAGTTTAAAGGATGAGAGGTTATTTTGACTCATGGTTCCAGTTTATGGTCACTTAATTCCAAGGCAAAATTACCATGGTAGCAGGGTATAGGGGGAAGAAACTGTTCACTGTATGGTGCCAGGTATCAAAGAGTGAAGGGAAGAGTTTGGGAGGGAGATACACTCTTACATGTCTCAGTGACCTGCCTGTTTTTCTTTTTTTTTTGGTACCAGGGATCGAACTCAGGACCTTGCGCTTCCAAGGCAGGTGCCGGAACCACTGAGCTAAATCCCTGGCCCCTCTTTTCTTTTT